TAGTTATTATTCTTATTTATGATTTTAACTAAATAAAATAATTGGTAAACAGTCGGAATTTCCCCTGATCTCTCCACCGTTGATTAATCCAATCACTCCCGTTGTTTGCTTGAGCAATGGGGCCCACGTTTTATTTGACCTAATCGTACCGCGACGAAAATAAAAGTCGCATCGATCGAACGGACGAGCTCGTGATGGTGCACGTAACAATTCTGGTTTGTGATGGATGCTAACTAACCACTGCCCCAGAAATTAAATTACCCAAATAGGACGGGCGCGTAAGTAATAATTCTTTTGTTCTTGTCTTTCTCGGATAAAGAACGCTTTTGTTTGTAATTTAAAAAAAGTGGAAATGTCGCTCAAAAATATTATTTTAGGTAAAAAAATAAAATTTATTTTTGATCTTTTAATAAATGTAAAATCAACTTGTAATGTAATAAATATATCTATTTTATTTAATTTAATATTTTTAAAATTTTTATTTTACATTTATATTAAGTTAAATAAATATTTTAGGGCAATTTAAATAATTACTCTGTGTTTTTGTAAAAATAATTGAAGATCAACTATAATTTTAAAAAATTATCTTTTATTTCATGCAAATTAGGTACTTCATTGTTGAAGGTTTGATATTTTATTTTCAAGTTTTTATTGATTATTTTTTTTTTGAAAATATGTTTATTTTATAAATATTTTTTATTAAAATTTAAAGAGTTAATTTAACTGAAAAATAAATTTTTGAATAAAACTAACACTGAAAGTTATTTTGTAATTTTTTTAAATATTAAATATATATTCAAAATTATTATTTTTTATCTTTTAGTGTAAACTTTATTTAAAAATAAATATGAAATTTATTTCATATAAAAATAAAATTTTTATCAATAAACACAACTTTTTACTATCACATGTGACTCGATGTATAATTTTATTTATGACAATCGTAAATACACAAATAGTAATATATATGATACACTATGTGATTTCGTACATCTATTCGTAAAAATAATAAATATAATTCTAATCATTATATTATCAAGTGCATGCATAAAATAATAAATATGTCACGTGATGCGATTTTAAAAATTTTATACTCCATTATACGTAAAATAATTTCAATCTAATATTACATGATCTAACGTATTACATTACACAACGTAATAATTTAAAATTATATATTTTTATATTCTCATGTTTAATTTGATACGTATTTTTAAAATTTATTTTTATATTTTTATCAACTTTTGAGATATTATTTTATTAAAATTAAGCAAGAAGATCTCTCTCTTTATCTCTAGTCTTCTTTTAAGTTTTAAATAATATTTTTATTTATAAATTAATTATTTGATACAGTAAATCATAAATTTATTATTTTTTACACTCTTAATTATTATAAGAAATATTTGAGAAACCCTTGGGATTGTTATTGTGATGTTAAATATTAAAATTAAAATGTTGAAAAAAATAGTTGGAGTGTCAAATGGTTAGGTTAAAAATAATTAATTTAGGCAAAGAAGCAGCGAAGAGTGCTTGCATTATAAATTATAATTTACATTATTTTATATATTTATATGGAATTTTAAGACAACATTAATATTATAATCTAATAAATTTATTGTATAAGAAGATATAGACAAGAACATATTGTTTAGTTAAAATTTTAAATATTATAAAAATATTATTAATGTTATGTTATAAAAAACAAAAGTTAACACTATTAATAATATTCATTATAAAAAATTACATTTTTAAAGAGAAACAAATTCAGATTACGTGCAAAATCCCAAATCCATTACGCAACTCAGAGCCCACTCTGCGCTCCCCATCAAACCCAAACCTAAACCAGAGTTATAAAAAGGATCTTTCTTATCTTTTCCATTTTCCATTACAAAATTCGACAGCTTCATCTCTGCTCAATACATTCTCGTTCTTCTCCCTGTTTCTCTCTCTAGGGCGCCTCGTAGTAGACTCCCTCGCGCCACTGCTCGGAGCTCCGTCGTCATCGGCTTCACCAGAACTCTCGATCTGCTGCCCGAAGGAGAAGAAGTACGGGGCGCTTCTCTCTGTGTTTGCCGCTCTAAACCGCCGCCTCGTCGAATCGCTGCACACCTATCCTTCTTATATTCACACCGATTTGAAGACTTAGCAGGTAATCTTTCGTTTACATTTCCGATTTCTGCTCATATTTGGATTTATCTAGTTTTTGGTTTATCATCGGTTGTCAAAATGAACATATGGGACATTATAAGCTTTCAGTTAAATACGTAGTTGTCAGCTTTTAGTTTAATATGTGGACTGGTTTCACATTATAATGGTACCGAGTCTTTAGGGAATTTTGGGTTTTTGTACGTGAATTTCTTCTTGATCTTAATCACGAAATGAAAAGGACTTCGTTGCCCTCTATATATTTGTTGAGAAGCCATAGTCTCAAGTAAGATTGGAAGGATATCTTCTAGCTCTCCATAAAACAATATGGACTGGTTTCATTGGATTGACAGAACGGGTAATCAGTTGTTGGCTCTGTTGTATATCATTTAGCTGTAAGAATATATCTTTCTATTGGATTATTTTTGCATGAAAATGACTTCAGTTGAGATGCTAGTAGTCTGGGCATGCACCTGAAATATTAAGTGAAGTGCCATGGTAGTTTCCCAAGGATATTTTTGTTACGCTTTATGAATGTTATTAATTTTCAATTGGAAGCTTGATCTGCTGACATTATTTCCATTTATTGAGGGTACTGAATATGTTCGGACGTGAAAATAAGATTTCTTTTATTTAGCGTATCGAGGCACAATAGTTGTGAGCCTGGAGGTGATACTTGGTCGGAGCGGTTTTTAATAGCTCATGATGATTGTGCAGTTGAAACAATGTAGGTCTGTTTTACACTGGATACGTTAAATATGGATGGTAAGTTTTCTGTTTCATTTATTATGATTTGAACTTATTGCAAGGTTTATTCTTACTATCTACTAACACTGATATCTCTTGTATCAATTTATTATGGATTTGGGGCCTACTTTGAAGCTTATAGAACATGAACTTGAAAAAGGGTATACTATACCATATATGTACTAACGCATGGATTTAAAAAATACTTATTTCATTTTTTTTGTCTGAACTTTCACAAACAAGCATGCATTGCATAAAACACTTTTTCCTGTTTGCTTTTATATCCAGTATATGGTCATAGTTATATCCTAGTGTTATCAGAATCAAGATTTGCAATGGAGTTTTCTAGAGAAAGTCATGTGTAGGAGTTGAGGCCCGCTTGTATCGAAATATTATTGTTTACCTATATGTATTGGGTAAGTAATAATGATAGTGAATAATACTCTTTTCCA